TCTGTCCCCTCCTGTCCCCTTCCATCTCCCTTCCCCTCTCTTCTCCTTTCTCCCTTCCCCTCCCCATCTCTGTCCCCTCCTTTCTCCTCTCCTCTCCTTCCCCATCCTTTTTTCTCTGCCCCTCACCTCTCTCAGCTCTCTCACACCCTGCCCCTCCTCATCGTCCTCCCCACACTGGAGGTTGTGAAATTTCCTTTGCGCAACCCCCCCCCGGGCCCACTGCTTTATAAGATCTAGAAGGCAAGGCTTGAAGTACTTTCTCATCACACTGAGCAGGACAGCCCTTCAAAGCTTCACAACCAGCCCCTCGGTCCTCGTTGAGGACATAGGGAGAGTGAACATGCCTTTCCAGAAGTGAACATGTCTGTCCCTCCACCCTCATGGAAATCTGCAACAGGGGGAGCCTCCCTCCAGGATGGCCTCCACCGTGGTCTCAGGGAATCCTTGGCAGGGAGCTGTTTATATTATCCTTACAAACCATGTTCTAGAAACTCTAGAAAACTGGGAAAAGACAACAGATCGCCCTTCGCGTCTCTGGGGTTGCCAGTGCCGTGAGTAATTCTGGTTTCATTTGTGAGTTTTGGGCACTTGTCTCTGCTGACCTGGAGCGTGACAGCTTCCAAGCCTGAGCCTACAAGCGGGTGTGTAACTGTGCGGTGGGCACCCCAAAGCCCACAGGCGCCTTGGACTTGGGAAGGGGCACCTCAGAGCGGCCAGGGGGCCTGTGCCAAGAGGCAGAAGCCCACAGCACCAAAAGCCCCTGACTGCTATCGTGTTTTCCACCAGCGCCCCCCTTGGCCAACGGGCCATGCTGGTGGACATAAGTGGACAGCCGGATGCTGTCACAACCCCCGACAGATGCTGCATTCCCCTCCTGGGAAGGACCCCGCCCCTGGAAAGGCCGTGTGGGACCAGGTGCAAGAGTGTTTGGTGCCAGCAAAGCAGGCAGGGACCCAGCCCCCACCCCCCACCCCCAGTCACCTTGAGTCACCCTACTGCTGTGACCACAGGAAGCCTGGAGCCATTCATCCTCCGACACGGAAAACTGTGAAACTTATAGAAATGAGGAACTCCAGTTCTGGGTTGTGGCAGGCCTCTCCTCTGGCCTCCTCCCCACTTCCCCCGGCCTGCCCGCCCCTCCTCCCCCCCCTCCCCCCCACCTCTCCACACCCCACTCAACTCCTGAGGAGCCAGAGATCCAGGCTGGTGCTCCGGGGCTGGGAAAAGTGCAAAGGGCTGGGGCCAAGGCTACCTCAGGCCAGGCCCAGCTTCCAATCCCAGTTCCTCCATTTGCATGCTGTGTAACAGCAAGGAGGACTGTTTCCCACTCAGAATCTCATTTTCCTAAACTAGAAAGCAGGGAATTAAGAGAAGTAAATGAGATGAGACCCTCAGAAAGCAATAATAAGAACGGATGTTGAGCACCTGGCACGTGCCCTGTGCCCATCACACTATCATTTCCACCAAGACCCTGCTCCAGCCAGTGCCCATTGTACAGAGGGGACCGAGGCTCAGAGAGGTTAAGGAGCTTGCCGGAGGTCACACAGCTAAGAAGTGGTGGAGACAGGCTTTGAGCCCAGGTCTATTTTCAAAGCTCATCTTTTTATTCTTCATCCTCTGCTGCATGCAATTCAAGGCCAAACTAAACCAAGCAGAAATCTGTCAGACTTACTTGGTCCGCTGAAACCCCTGGGGAAGAGATGAGTAACTGCCATGGTCTCCTCCAGCCTGCCTCAGAAGCCTTTGCCTCCCCAGGGCGCCTGGCTGCTCAGTGGAAGAGCATGCAGCTCTTGATCTCAGGGTTGTGGGTCTGAGCACCACACTGGGTGTAGAGATTACTTAAATGAATAAATAAAAACTTAAAAAGAGGATTCCTAGCTTCCCCCACTTTCTTGTCGCATGATATCAGGCAATACTTTTCTGAGCCTCTTCTGAGCCTCAGTTTCCTCACCTGTAAAGTGGGAATGATAATGTCTGTCTTGCTTACTTGTAGAGAGGATTAAGTGAGTGTATGTTTGTACTGAGCCTGCTCAGAGTAGGTGCCCACAGAATCACACCTGCCAATGTTTCTGGAAACATAGAAATGTCCCCTCTGTCCCATCCCCTCTGCTTAGCATACCCTCCTCCTGGGCCTGTAGCCCCATGGTCCCTGGCATACCTCTGTGCCACTCTTCTCAGCTCTTGCAAGCGTCCTTCCTCCTTTTCTTATTGGGTCCATTGGAGGCTCAGCAACATTTCAACATGACTGAAATACGCCCTCAGAAGATATAAACGCCAGCATACCATTTGACCCAGAAATTACACTTCAGGGATCTATCTCAAGGAAGCATTCTCCATGCATTCATTCAGTGAGTCATTAACAACAGCGATTTATTGAGCATCTATTGTTTGCCAAGCCCTGTGATATGTGATTGCTACACTGGGGAGCAAAGCAGACTGGTACTCCAACCTCTGACCACCAGAAGCCAACTGTCTTTTTTTTTTTTTCAGTAAGTTCTGGATTAAAAAAAATTTTTTTTAAATTTTATTTTGAGTAGGCTCCACACCCAAAGTGGGGCTTGAACTCACGACTCTGATTAACAGTGGCATGCTGTACCCACTGAGCCAGCCAGCAACTCCAGAAGCCAACTGTCTAATTGCTGAGGAGACATTAAATAAACAATTACACATATAAATATATAACCGCAAAACCGTAACAGCGAGGAAATGTTTCAATATGCCGGTTGTAGAAGGCTTTTGCCTGCTAATTTGGTAGATCCACTTCTGCGCCCAGGAATCTGAGAAAAGATAAAGGTCAAGGGCAAGGGAGGGTTTTAAATTTTTCTGTTGAGTGTTACCACTCAAGAGCTTCTCCCTGAAGGTCAGGGCTGGACCTGATGTCAGTTGGGTCATGGCGTGGGCAGCGATGTCTGTAATGTTTATGCAAAGAAAGAAAAAGACAAAAATAGGGGGCGCCTGGGTGGCTCAGTCATTAAGCATCTGCCTTCGGCTCAGGTCATGATCCCAGGGTCCTGGATCGAGCCCCACATCGGGCTCCCTGCTTAGCGGGGAGCCTGCTTATCCCTCTGCCCCTCCTTCCCCCCACCCCCCACCCCCGCTTGCGCTTGCACTTTCTCTCTCTCAAATAAATAAATAAAATCTTAAAAAAATAAAAATAAAAGGAACCAGGCTTCTGGGAGAAATGGCCGCGTGTAGGGCTGGGGCAGAAAAAAGACAAGATGAGTCTGAAACATCTTGTAGCATCAGACAGTAAGGAAGTGCTCAGAAAGCAGAACAAGGAGGGCATGGCAAAGGGACCCAGGCACCAGGCCGAAGGAACTCCCAAAGCTGGAACAATTTGAGCAACAACAGAAATAACGTAGTATTAGATTATAAGTCAAAGTATAAATACCCATGAGTCCATACTGACATAAACAAATAGTTGAATAAATAAATAAGTGGGGGAGAAGAGACACATCTTTCTTACAGAGGACTCCCAAGTAATTTATTTGGATGTTCCTCACTCCAGGAAGTGGGGCTTAGCTTCCCCTAACGGTGGGATGCACTTAGCAACCTGTTTCCAAAGAATGGAGTACGGATAGTGGAAAATAGCAACTTTCCAGTGGAGAAACCCGGAAACACTGCCTCAGCTAAGCCATCACAGTAAAAAGTCCTGTGCCCATGTCATGTGCCCCCTTGCAGAGGCCAGGAGAAGGACATATCACCTTGGTAGTATCCTCCCAGAAAACCCATAGCCCCAGTCTAGTCATGAGGAAAATATCGGAAAAAATTCCAGTTGAGGGGCATTCTGCAAAATGCCTGACCAGTTCTCCTCAAGATTGTCAAGCTTAGAAGAAGAACCAGGAGAGGTTGAGAATGGGTCACGGACAGGAGACATGCGGATTACATGCAATAGGGAATCCTGGTTGAGATTCTGGAACAGAAAAAGGACATCAGAGAAAAAGCAGATAAAATCCAAGTAAAGTCTACAATTTAGTTAACATTAATGTAGCAATGCTGGTTTCTTAGTTTTGACAAATGTGCCCTGGTAATGTGAGATGGTAGCATTAGGGGAATTTGAAACTAGCTGAGGGATATATGGGAAATCTATTTTTTGCAACTTTAGTGTAAATTTTAAAAAGTTTAAAATCTGCACACAAACAATAAAGAGTAGAAAGAAAAACAGCCAAGTGTTAATAATAAGTATGTTGGAATGCCCTCTGTTTAATTTGTCAAGTGTCTTTAATTAGGGTTTATTCCTCTTATTTTAAACTTTTATTATTTCTTTTTTTAAAAAAAGATTTATTTATTTGAGAGAGAGAGCGCGCGAGAGAGAGCAGGGGGAGGGGTGGGGAGGAGGAGGGGCAGGGGGAGGGGGAGAGGAGAGCATCTCAGGCAGGTACCCCCCGCCCCAGGCAGAGCTGGATGCCATACTGGGACATCATGACCTCAGCCCAAACCAAGAGTCGGAGGCTCGACCGACTGAGCCACCCAGGCACCCCAAACTTTTATTATTTCTGATTAGAAGTCTATTACTTTTATAGTGACACAAAGTGAAATAAAGAATTTTGCGCAATACCTAAATGATCTCATTTAATCCTCACAACCAGCTAAGAAAATATTTCTTTGCCCCATTTTACATATGAGGAAACTGAAACTCAGAAGTCAGTGATTTGTTTAAAGTTAGATACCAAGCAAGAGGGCTCTCGCCTAAGCAGATTTCTCTTTAGCCCAAGGAAGAAATTTTAACTAGAAATGTCCTAAGAGTCCTGGAAAGGTGGTGAGCTCCCCATCGGTAGAGGACCGTGAGTGTCCGGGAGAGGGAGTCAGGAGACCTGACACTGCATCTCTCTCCGCAGACGCAAAGGGCAGGGCTGTGTCTCTCTTGTGAGACCCAGAACTACACCAGGCCGGCCGCGTTTCCTCCTTCTAACTGGGAGGACGGCGGGGGCAGGTCGGGGCCGGGGGTCTGCTGGGGCTTCTCCTTCATCTCATCAGCGCCCCCCCCGCCCCCCCGCACCATGGGATACATCACAGACAACCCGGGACGTGGGGACCAGCCTTCCTTTAGTCAGAGCCTCCAGGCGTCGGGCCCTGATCTAGACCTTCGACGTCGCGCCGCCAAGGTGAGAGGTAGGCACTGCGGCCCATTTTAGGGCTAAGGAAACCGAGGCGGTCAGAGGGCACGGGCGAGGTCGCCGCGCCCCGAGACGGAGAGGCCCCGCCCACGTAGGCGGAGCGACCCCGCCCACATCGGCGCGGCGCGGCGCGGGCGGG